AGCTTTTCCTCCTTGGCTGTTTGCAGTAATCGCTGGTCTGCTGGCGATGAGCCCAGAGGCGCACGCGCCTTAGTGTTCCTTCAAAACTACACATAGTAACCGACAGAGCGCTGGTTGCTTGCCATCTGTTGTTTTTTGGGTCTTTGTTTGTGTACTGTGTGTGTTTCTTCTACCCGCTGCACTTAATATACACTGTGTAGAGATTATTTCTGAATTATTAAAGCAGCAGCCATGTTACATCATCACAAAATCCTGTTGTTTAGTTTAAAACACCAAGAACAAATGATACGGTAAGATTCTGGGTATTTCTCATTAGTTAGAAGATGACTATAAAACCAAACTCAAACTCATTTTCAACCTTTTTACTTATATCAAATTCAAAACTAACGCTGTACACTTACTCTGGAAAAAATACAACATTAAGAATGCGCAAGTAAATAAAACAAATTTATAGCAACATCCATCGGTTCTTGCTTTACATCTTCTTGTTCTCCAACACTAACCAAATATATATGTTTTATATTATATTTAATAAGCTCGAGCTCCTCATGACGTTTATCTCATATACAGAAGAAGCTTCAATACTGCGAGAAACTTAGTTTTGTAGGTGAATATAATTATAGTTTGGTTATAGCATTTTTTTTTCTACTGGTTCACCAACATTTCACCACTATACGATTTTCTCTTCCCATAGGGGAAGTCAGCCTTGTCGAGAAAAATAAAAAAATATTTTCAGGTTTTTGTTCCCTTTAAAGTGCTTTAGTTATCCATGAGTAAGATTTAGATTTTCAACAAATTTAAACTCACTTAATCATTTTCATACATCGCGACCTAAAATATAGGAAGATTATAAACATATACATCATGTGCTTTAATCAAAATTCCTTCCCGATTTCGTACTAATTAATTTGACCACTAATTTCTCTTCGAAACGAAAGGCTACGTAATACCAGCTTATCTTATAAAGTGTACAACGATCTATTACTCCAGTTACATACGCAAGCGACTGAGCAATAATTTTTTCAACGCCCCCACTTCCTCCAACTCGGCGCTTACCTACGTGATAGTCGTTGGTACCAAAAACTGCAAACAAACATTTTCTATGATGCCTCATTTACGCAGTACTTCTCAGCCTTAAGCACTTATTTTTAATAGCTTACATTCTGCCTAAATTTATTGCTACTTGCTAGCTTATTTTATAAAGTATGTAACTTCATTTATGACTTGCCATACTACTTTTAAATATATATTTTTTACTTGCTTTTCACAGCACTATTGTTAAAGTTAAGGGCGAATACTTCCTTTCCTTTTTTTATTGTGTGTGTTATCATTTCATATGATATAGATAGCGCTGTAATGAAATATCAAGTTACCTTGACCAAAATAAAACTGAATTTAGTATTCAACAGGATAGGATTAAAAGCTACCACAAACTTACTCGGAGGTGCTAACACGCCGAATATCTACCAGTAAAACACTTGGTAAAAATCAGGGTTTCTTATGGCCCTTGTAAATGTATGTAAGAAGTGAAACTGGAGTTTTCGTGTCATTAAATAGCACTGTAAAAAGGACTATCAGTGAAGCTGTCAAAATTCAAAACAGTTAAACAAGAATTACACATTTATATTTTTAGTGCTTATTTTGATTATAAGTACAGGTTACGAAGAAGTTGAAATAGACGAAAAAAGCTTGACTAACGAATTTCGTTGTTCTATCTTAAAGTTCCATCATACATCAAATTTCAACTGTATGGTCGTCTGAATATTTCATTTGTTTTTTACTTTTTCTTTCCTTACTGGGGTTACCTTCAAGGACTTACTTAGAGGTTTAAAAGGTAACTGGATTTGATTTTATTTTTAACAGAGCTTCTTCTAAGTCAGGGGATACCCAAACTAGAGGTCTGCACGGGCCCGGGCCTCATCTTATAAATACTGTATCACGCTTTATTTGTGTGAATTGTTAAAACGGCCATATTAAAATGCAACCATAATGCTGATAGGTACACATATTAGTATTTATATTATTACCTTATTCTTTTCTATGTCGGCAGATTGGAACATAAAAACAGGCCATCTCGCTCTTCCCACAGTCTACCGATCCTGTAAGCAATATTTCGTTTAAGCTTCGGGCCTAAGTCGGGTTTAGTGTGAACAAAATCGAGTATTAGGCGGGCTTGGGCAACATATTGTAAATACTGCTCGGGCCGAGTAAACTTATAAAATTTCTACCTTTAAATCTCAAACTCTCACGACTCACCTGGGTAACCAGGCGATCTTCTGAGGTGGGGTTGCTGTTCTAATGTATTTCAGTACGAATTTTCGTAGCATTCTTTTTTCTTTCTTTTTTTTTTTTGGTTTTGTTTCTTCAAAAACGTTTTAAGATAATTATTTTATAGATAATTTTAAAACACAAGCATGTTGGTGTTTTACTATGCCTTGTTTTTCGAACCACAGATCTGCGTCAGCCGCCCCTAATTTTGAACTTACAGGCTAGGGGGAAGGAAGTTAGTCAAAAGAACCCACTATAATCGAATAGTGGGTTTGACAATCAGTCATGTAACACTCCCACGGTCCCAAAATGTGAAGCGGTTGTTTCTATTTTACTGCAACGAGACGTGAACCATGGATTATCGGATCCACGGTCCGGCATACTAACCACTAGGCTACGCCCAGCCCAGAAATTATGAAATCAATACACATATTCGTAATTTATTGTATTCAGTGAAAAAGAAAAAAGAAATGAAAACCCTCGGGCTTCTTTCTGAAATGTCTTGATTTATAAAAAGTTTAGCGGTGAATCTTTATCACACGACTACATATTTAAACATTAAAAACCCAAAAGGTGTCCCTAGAAATACCTATCTCGCAAAGGAGCAACCATGGAATTTTGTGGACTTCCTCTTGCGTGGTACCAGATATACTTGAAGTGACAGAAGAAACTCAATATACATAACATCTATGTAACCTGATGCTGCACATCACTTATTGGGAAAGAATGGGGAATTTGCACTCGTTAACAAATGCAATGGTTGAGTTGTCGAGACAGCATACATAATTTGAAACCAAGGTCAAGAGACTTCAAGGTCGAAAGCCCAGAAACAAGTTCTGGCTTTGCTCTCAAAAACTAAATCTCATTGCACCCCACCCCCCGCTCATTCTTTCCTTCCCCAAATTTGCGGCCTGAGCCATGGCTGTAAAGCCAACGACCCTATCTTTTCCAGGAATCTGTAGTACAGAGGCACCTCAGCCTTAGGCTTCAGAAATTTGAGAACACGTCCAAGCCTAACTGTGGAAGTGACGTTAACCAAGGTGAACGTGTTTAACTCAAGCTACTTGTGTTCGTTCCACCCCTGCGATCACCGATAAAATAATGACATGCCTCTAACCTGTTTTGAAGATGTTTCTACACTCACAGCTACTTATTCGTATCCTTCAAATAATTTATTTTTTGTTGTTACCTCAGATTGAGGTAGTAGGTATATTTTACTATCAAACTTATATTTAAAATATGACAAATATATATAATTTTTAAATAAGTTAAACGTAGTTGTATACTCCTTGGTGTTCGAACATTCCTCTCGCTAACATGAAATGCAATTTCTTATAATTTCAACACATTTTATACACTCATGTACATCCTAATGAATTCTGTTACAATTACAGCGAATTGGATTTTCAACGGCTGCCACACAAACTTGGATTGAAACAACTGCAGGCTCGAATGCATCTGATTCCGAAAACCGAAAAGCAAAATAATAATTACTTATTCCTTAGAAAGTGTGCGATTGCTTTGATAGTTTTACAAACTCTGGTCATTTTTGAATTTTAAATCGGCGGAAAATTTGTTAGCGACCAATATGTTCACAATAATTTCGAAGCTCAGTGCCATAATCGGAGTTAACTCTTTAATATGAAATCTCCAACATGTGATTCGAAAAAATGTCATTTCTTTCACGGTGTATAAAAGAACCACGTAATTTCTTTAAGTAAAAATTAAACATATTGTCCAATTTCTATCAAGAATAATAATAAGGAAGATATAAATATTTTCCTAATATCCTTATCTAAATATATATGATCTGCTATTTGTCCAACTTTTATGCCTAAACTTCAAGAAGGTAAGGCCATTCAGTCAGTTCGTGCGTCAGCGCCGATCTGAATACAAACTTTCTTTTTTGCGTATCTGGAAATAAATCTTGTCCTGGTGAGTTTTTTTTTTTAACCAAGAAAATAGTTTGCGATAGAACCGGATCTCCGAAGTCGTGGACAAACGGTACTTGTTTCATACAAACGTTACAACTTAAATAACTGACAGTCTTTCATGTAAGTCGCATGTCATTAACTTCTTCATTCTTTGTGGAAGCATTAATGAATTTCCACGAGTTTGGCAAAACAACATACATTTAATGGATGCACACTCTGCTAGATGATTTACTGGTTTAAAAGTGTGACGTTTTATATTTTTAATTATATGTATTAGCGTAAGGCATTAGGTTTGCCTATCAAAAGCGCCTGCAAAATCATCAGATAATAGGGCGTTTTGTTTTTTGTTAACGTTACTAACGTATTTTAGAATTATAAATAAAAAGTTAAAAATATATTCGTTTATTGAAAACAAAAAAAAATCCAAACAAATGCAGAAGATCTACTAAACACGAGATGGCTGATTTTTAGTCTTCAATATCTAGCAAGACAGAAAAATCTCCATATCATCAGGTCCTATTCAAATAAAATATATTCAAAATAGTAGTTTATAAAACACAATTACAAGGCAGTGCCAAAAAGGTGTGAATCTATTTTTTGACTCCACTGTTTTTTTAAGTTCTTCTCGTCTGATCTGACATAAAAAATATATAAAAATACCGAGTTCGGGCTGTATTTCATATTAAACGTTTTCTCAAAACGCTATTTACATTTTAATAGTGTATGTTGCTTACACTAAAGACAGGTGCTGCCATCTATATTTTGATTTCAAATCACATTCGAGATGCATAAACTTACATGCTGACTTAGGGGAAAACTTGTCTCGTTGTGCTGCGCAGACAGCCAATAACCGGTAACCGAGATCGAGATCAAATCCTTGCTGGGCGGCTACCCTGTTAACCACCTGAAAGTAATTAAAAATCTTAAAATCAGTTAGGATTTACAGCCTAAAATTAAAAAAGAAAAAAAAACAATTTGTCACTCTACAAACCACGATCTAAGAAACCTAACGATTATAAGTAATATATATATTCACTGTGTATTTACCACCTAAATCTCTAGGGCATACATTAATTTCTTTTAGTATGCAATAAAACGGATTTTTAGTTTGGTTTTGAATTTCGCGCAAAGCTACACGAGGATTATCTACGCTAGCCGTCCCTAACTTAGCAATGAAAGACTAAAGGGAAGGCAGCTAGTGATCACCACCCACCGCCAACACTGGGCTACTCTTTTACCAACGAATAGTGGATTAACAGTCACATGTTTCCAATCACTTCTGAGTGAAATCAATGACATATATGTATTCATATGTCAAGCACACTATATCTACTATATCCAGTGCCATCGAGGCCTTTCTCCCAGGGCTAGTCAGGTCGACTGGGCTACGACAGACATTGTAGTGATCCAGGCCTTATATATCGTCATCAATTGCACGAACAACAAATGTTATTGTGTGAATCAGATTTAATTCTCCACAATTACACACATATGGATAAACATTAACAAACACCTAAATCATGATATGACGTTTGTTCTGGAAGAAGGTTTTAACAAATTGTACGATCAATAAAAGCATGACCCAGTAGTTAGCGTGGGAAGTTCCCTCATTCGCGTCCCATTTCAGCAAAAACAAACAACACACACACATTTATATATTTATAGTCTTGGCAAAAATGTTTGCACACTGTTCTACACTGATGTTATTGTCTACATGCATGTAGTACCGGTATTTTTCGGAATATAAGACGCACCCTTATTTTGAAGACAAAGTTTTGGGGAAAAAAGGCTACAGT